GGTTAATTGATAGTTAAGAGTCTAAGACTAATTTAAAATTGTCATGCTAAAATGGATGGTATCTATCAAACTTGTCTTGGCTAACTTCAATTGAATTCAGCTAAGATCATACTAAAAAAGCGACTAAGATCAGAGGCTTGTCAATGCAGCTTACTGTATTTGTAGTTTAGAAGAACTACATTCTAAAGATCCTGAAGTAAAAGAACATTAAAAGACATCATAAACCCACAAAAAATGCATAATTAACATTCGGTTTAAAAAAAAACTCACATAGGATTAGAGACTTGAGAATGCAGCTTACTATATTCACAGAAGAACATAATAGTTACAAATTTCATACATGAGACAGCATGTGGTGTTGTTACCTGGTGTGTGCTTGTTGAAAAACAGGAAATTGTTCACCCATTGCACTTGAATGTGTAAGCAAGCTGCACAGGAAGTAACATGTTATTTCTATATATAATGAAATTGACCACCTTGTTTTTTTCATTCCATCCTCTGCTTCAGATCTCCGCAATGACAATAGATATATGGCTGATCATATGGGATCTAAATTGTAATGCCGTCTCAAATATGTTCCAATAGTGTAATCCTTGTTCTTGCTGCCTTTGAAAATTAAGAAACTGCATAATTTGGTTAAATTTTACTCCTAAAGAGGATAGTAAACCCCACCAATATTCTCTTCAAGTTCAATGCAAACTACAGGCCCTTGTAAGTAGCAATGCCCTGCAATGTCTTTTTTAGTTTGCAAAAATTGTGGAGGCTAAGTGCTGCCAAATATTTGAAGAGAGATGAATATTTGAAGAGCGATGAAGCCATTAACCATTATAGTAGGCTCTTAGTTGCTATATTTGAGACAAACGTAAATTAGGCAATAAGAAATTGAAATTTTGATTCATAAATTGGGAAAACACCCATGACTTCATAAACATTCAACAAAAATATATTTTGGCAGAAATGTTTGTACATGCAATGTGGACTTAATGATCAGCCACACACAATTTGTCTTTGTACATAAGTCTATCTCACTCTTAATTCAAGAATAGGACTGCTAGATGCAAAATAGTCATATAAAGCACACAATGTCAACTACCTGCTTAACTTGAATCTATGTAGAGCTAACTTGTTTATACAGAATATTTCTTAATCATAGAATGTCAAATATACTACTTACCAAACTAATTTATTCCGTGGAAGGTGAAGAAAATTCCTTCTGGTCAGAGTGCTATTAAACACAGAATGCCAAAAATCCTGAAACAAAGAAAGACCTTTTCATAAAACCAAACCAAGAACATACTAATATGAATATGGTAACAGAAAATTTAACAAAGAGTAAATGATATGAAAGCATATCCATTATGTTCCGCAACCTTGCATTCTGAATAAAAGACAATTCCAACATTTTAAAAACTCAATGAATTAAAGTAAAATGAGTGGATATTTGAAAATTTAGATGCATTAATATTAGCATATCAGTTCAAAGATATGGAAATAATAAGCTTTAGAATAAGTGTAAGATTATAATCTTTAGATATAAGAGATTAAAATTATAATTGAAATTTTGTAGGAATAACGATATAGTTCTGAATGAGACCAACCCTAACAATCCAAGGTTGTCTAAGTGACTCGTTGTAAATATAAATAGTTCATTTTAGGAAAGATGATATGATTAATGACTACTTATGTAATGCTCCATCAATCAAATGGGAATACATAATCATATATTCATATATATGAGTTCAGATAAACCTTTTGAGTTCAATTTCAATTTCCACCTTATAAATTGCTAATCTTTTTAGTCTTGGGAATGTTAGTCTCATAGGAATACACAATATCAGATATAAATCAGGTATAAAACAAAACAAATGAAAGAGAAACTGAAGAGTAATATCCAAGAATGTATGATGGGGTTATTTGGACAAATACATGATAAAATCAATGAATATAATTTTTACATAAATCTCAATGAATGCCATTGCGGCATATTTACAAACACCTACAGTATAATCACAAACCAAAAACTCAAAGTGATGGAGACTTACCTGAAATTCAAAGAAGTTAAAGGTATAGATATGTTGGCAGAGATGATTTCGGCCAAGAAGAAGTGAAGAACAAACTGAAAGCTAGCAGTCAAATCTGTAATCGACTGGATTTCGTCCAAGGAAAACAAATGGAAAGGTAGGGAATCTGAAACCGGCTTGATATTTCGGGTGTTAACTGATTGGTAGTAGGTTCGAATCCTACTTGGGAGTGAAGAGTAACCTTACCCACCTGATGATTTCAGATTTTTGGCGAAGATGATTCAAGCCAAAGGTGAACGAATCTGAAGTTGTTGATGATGTCTCAACATTTGCTGAGGCTAATCTGATTTGAGAAGAAGAATTCATCGATCTAGCGAGGATGCGAATAAAGGGAATTTGAGGAGGAGCGATTTGAGGCGTACAGGAGTCGAAAGAGAAATAAAGCTGAAGCCGTAGATTGACCGTAGTAAAATCGAACGGATAATAGAAGGTGTTGGGATGAGCGGGATTTTTTTTGAGAAATTGTAGTGCTATTAAGGAGAGGATTATACGCAAATCTCAATCATCAATCTTTAACTTTTCTATACTTTATTACTCCCTCCGTCCCATTTTACATGTCCTACTTTCCTGTTTGGTCTGTCCCAAAATAAGTGTCTTCTTTCCCTTTTTAGAAAAAAATATGTGGCCTACACCATTTCACTTTATTATACTCAAACCTCAACCATACTTTTTACTTTTTCAACCATTTCATTAATAACCGTATCAAGTCAAACTAAGACATATAAAATGGGACGGGGATAGTATTATTTATTTGTGTCAAACCAAAATATGATACATAAAATCAGACGGAGGTAGCGTTAAAATTGTTGGAAAAATGTGTGAAAAATTGCATTAAATGGCTATTTTGGGGAAATTTTTTGAGTGGGGTCCACTTCCGATTTGATTCGGGTCAAAGTGGTTTCGGATTGTCCTTGTTAAGGGCTACAATTCGATATATGGTACGCTCAAAACGGATAACGGGTGAATGAGAAATCGCTTTTCGAAGTTTACCCGTTAGAATGGAAAAACTGGGAAAAAGGAAGGGTTTCTAGTGTTAATTTCCCACACCGGAAAACCCAAGGGATTTGCAACCCTTTATAAAGGGACTCCCCCCTTATGGAGTTAAGATTCCTAAGGGTAAAGGCTCTCTCCACGCGCAGGGTGGGTGCAAATCAAATCCCGAATTCGGAGAAGAAAAACCGCGACTTGCGTGCGCGGGCGACCTGCGGACACGAATGTCGTCCAAAAATCCATCTCTCAAGAGATACGGATAATTTTTATTTTCTTCCCGAAACGTTTATTTTTCCCAGTTGACAGAAGTAGCGGCAGAAGACCTCGGTCTCTGGTGGCTTTGACCAGAACACCTCGTAGAGTTCTGGTGGCACTTCTGAACCCGTTACAGCAATAAATGCCCAACGTTTATATGTTTTAATGCAGCGTTAAATGGACAGTTCATGGACGATTCAATGCCCAACGGACTGGTCATTGATGTCCAACGTTCAGTTCCATTAATTCACCATTTACACACAACAAATCCTCCTATATAAAGGCTGGCAGGTGGTTTGCAACAACACACGTTCTTACACGAATTCATACACTCAATGCACGTTTTGCACCTCTAAAAACACACTGCTAGCAATCTGCAAATTCCTTCTGTGTTCAGCCTGTGTTCTCGTTCGCTGGAACTCTTGTTTGTGTGCTCAAACATTAGTTCGTAGTCATCGTGTTCTGGGAAACGATTGTTGCAACGCTCCTAGCACAGTGGGAGGCAACAAATACGTTTTAAGGACATCGTGTGTAGCACGAGTTTTGACTAATTCTGCTTCATCTCCTTTCTTGTTTTTCTCTAGTCATTTTATTTAATTAATTTATTTTAATTAATTTTCTTAGTTTTCCGAAACACACCCAACAAAAATTTCCCATTCCACACACTACAATTTTGAAAACAATACGGAGTATCATTTTTTCTCATTATCATGAACGATTAATTTTAATTCTATGACCACGTCAAAATATTAATAAAATTTCACCAAAGATATGTATTATTCTTAAAAAAAATTCACTCTATTTAATGACCAAGACAAATTCATCATTACAAAATGATATATGCCTTCGGTGTTCTTATAATATGTTGATTATAAAGATGTTTTTATTTGGATTGTTTTCAGTCCCACATCAGACCAAATCAGACCAGACTTAAATAGATTGACCATACCAGTTCAGACTTAAACAGATCAGATTAGATCAGACCAGACCTAAACAAACCAATTAGACTTAAACAGACCAAACCAGACCAGACCAGACTCAAACTGACCAGACAAGACCAGACTTGACTTCCGAAGTTATAAAATACACAAAGACCATATGTTTATCAGACCAGACTTAAACAGACCAGACCAGATCAAATTAGACCATCAAATTACAATCCAAGTAAAAAACATCCTAAGAGGTTCAAAGTTTTAGCCATTAAATTAAACCCTGTATTATGTACATGAAAGGAAAATTTCTATCTAATATTCTATCTTGCATCTCTTTTTAGTTGCGCTGTACTATGAAAAAATTTACGCTATTCACATACTCTGCTTTGATTGCCTTTTACTTATTAGTTTATGATTTTTTTTTTGAAATATATTGTTGAATTCTTCTCATCATAAATTTTCATAATCTTATTTTTAATGAATTTTCATTAATTATAAATTAAATATAATGACGTTAAAAGTTGTATATCGGCAATTCAGCCAGTGCGAAAATGAGAATGTTGTGACTAGAAAACAATAGAGAATGCATGTATGTTTGAATGCATGTATATTCAACGCAACCCAAGAGGCCGGCCTAATAATTAAGTGTGGTACGTGGACTTGACAAGCCATTCACGCCAAGCTACTCATAGCTTGCTTCTAAGTTCTAACAAATTTGGTTCCTTTAAATTAAAGCTAGCCATGAAGATTCTAATAAGAATAATAATAAAAATAACCCTTCGAATAACAAACAATAATGGTGTTCGTATTATTCGAAAAGAAATACATCGACTTGTTGCTAGTCCCGGCAGGCCTCCTCTTTATGTTTGCTTATCATCTCTTCTTGCTCTACAGATACCTTCACACCCCTCACACCACAGTCATTGGCTTTGAAAACAACGACAAGAGAGCATGGGTTGAAAAAATCATGCAATCGTCATCCTCGTCGTCGTCGTCTGATCAGAGCGGCAACAGCCCCACTGTCGTCGCCACCGCTCTTGAGGTTTTATCCTCGAACAACACCGGTGCTACTTTTCTCGCAACCGTTTCGCTAACGTTAAGCTCGCTGATCGGGACATGGATGGCCAGCAACAATTCCAGCACCGTCTTCAGCAGTGACCTGATCTACGGTGACACGAGACCGGAAACCATGGGAGTGAAGTACATAAGCCTCCTCGTCTGTTTCTTGCTCGGATTTTCGTGCTTTGTTCAAGCGTCAAGGAACTTCTTGCACGCCAACTATCTCATAAGCATGCCGGACACCGATATGCCGATCAGCTACGTGGAGACGGCCGTCATCAGGGGAGGAGAGTTTTGGTCGCTTGGACTTAGGTCTCTTTATTTTGCCATCACTTTGTTGTTCTGGTTTTTCGGGCCCATTCCCATGTTTGTTACCTCTCTGTGCATGGTTTTGATGCTCCATTATCTTGACCGGAATACCACCCCGTTGCTCCACCACCGGTCTTCTCGAAAAGGAAACCAGAATTTGTTGTAACTTGTAAGCAACCCTCACATAAAGGTGGACGCAGATATATGGAGCGTCAAGCGTGTCCGACATCTTAAATACGAGTAAAATTTTAAGTGGTAGGGCCTAGTCTAGGTTTATCTAAAATGTAAAATTTACTTTTGTAAAATTTAAAGTGGTAGGGCCTAGTCTAGGTTTATCTAAAATGTAAAATTTACTTTTGTGTGTACAAACTATAATAAAAATCAAACATTAAAATAAAAGTTGTTTATAAATGTGATCTCGATCTTATGAGCAGGGATGGATTTAGGGGGGGCGCGGGGGGCGACCGCCCCCCTTGGACATTCAATTTTTTTTACCATATATGTAATATTTTCATAAAACTTTCATAATTTAATTAGATTCGCCCCCCTTAGCTTTTAATTTTCAAAGTTAGTATATGGTCTTACATAATGTAATACTTAATTGGAGATTTGAAAGAATAAACATTTAAAATAATTTACATAACTGAAACAAATAAACAATAGAGTAACTCGTTATTTAAGATTTAGGATACTTATTATATAAGAATTCCTAGTTTTGTAATGTTTAATTATCTTTATTAGATAACAAGTACTGGATTTTGTAAAACATATATCAAACAATATTAGTGTGTGTGTGTGTACCAGACACACTAATTACACAATTTTTAGATCACGTGAAATGAATCCAAGATATAAATATTTATAGACATTAGATTACATAATTCATTTACTTCTTGGTTTCTGAAAATAATTTATTGCATGGATAAAAATATTAAAATATAATATGCGCCATATATATGTGTGTGTGTGTGGTGCACATTATTCCAAAAATAACAATCTCATACATACTAGTATACTACTATTGTAATATTAAGAAAACTTCTCATGAGTCATGACTCACGAACACCCTCCTTGGTGGACAAAAATTACAATTTAATAACCGATTTATGAGGTTAAACAATGTAGAAGTTATTAAAAATGTATTGGTTGATGTCTTTGTCATCGTCTAAACTTAAAATGTATTAGATTTAAATGCCGTTCGGGATGTGCATGTATTAATGTCATTTTTTGAATAAAAATAGCCGCATAGCTCCACAGTAGCGAAAAAATTTCGCCCCGCTACACTAGGGGAAAAATATTCACCCCGCTACACTAACGAAAAAAAATTCACCCCCTACATTAACGAAAAATTTCGCCCCCCTTGACTCAGAATCCTGGATCCGTCCCTGCTTATGAGTCATGATTATAGTAGTAATTTTATTCAGTAATTTATTTTCAATTTTTAAAAATCATGGCACAATACAAATACGTAGTAGTAACATTTGTGATATAAAGTTGGTTTTTGTTGTTAGAGTAAATGTTTTTTTTAATATACATTCTTAATTATTAACTTTTGGCCCCACCTAGATGTCAAAGTTAGATCCGCTTCTACTTGTGGCACTCCGTCCACCTCGGGTCAGGTCCGCCAGGCTCATTTCTTTCTCATTAAAAATACCAGTCTGCAAAAATTTGGCATTTGGCCTCCAACCGTATGCAAGTAGGGCCTCATAGACTCCTGCATAGTTCCTTTTTCGGCTGGCTCACCTTTATCCCCGCCGGTGTTGTTTCCACAAAAATCGGGCATTCGAGATTCATTGTTGTAAATTGTCCCAAGAGATGAACAGGGCTGAGCAATTATGGTGCCCTAGACAGTCATATAGAAATTTTGTTTAGATATGTTTTATTTAACACAATGATGACACAAAAAATATGAATTAAATAGAAGTAAATTACATATGAAATCTTGACCAAAAAAAAAATTACATATGAAATACTCCTCTGTCCCGTAAAGATTGTCTCATTTTTTCTTTTCGGTCTATCTTAATAAGATTGTCTCATGTCAAATTTGATAAAATATGTGTGCTTCTAAATCATTTTCTTGCTAATATTGTCATCTCCTCTTATCCTAATATAAGGAGAATGTTTTGTAGGGCTGGGACTTTGGAACCAAGAACCGGAGAACTGAACCGGACTGAACCGTTATGACTCGGTTCGGTTCCAACATTTATTAGTTATTAGTTAACGGTTCGGTTATTATTTTTTATTAACGGTTCGGTTCTCGGTTCCTGAAAAAAATATCTACTAGGAACCGTTAAGGAACCGTTATATATAATAATTAAAATTATATATATTTCTTATGAGTAAATATATTTTAATGTATATTTACTTATTTATATTTATATTACATTCGTTATGTTAGTTTAGTTATTTAACTATTTAAAACAATTAAAACGAATGTAACAAAACAAGAAATATATGCTTCATTCTTCTAACAGAACATTTGCAGGATCCAAATGAAGCAACAGAACATTTGATTACAATTAAACTTTAATATAATATGTATACATAATAAGATGGGCTTATTCTAAAAATTAGAGGCCCCTAAATTTTGGAGGCCCTAGACATTTGTCCAGGGTATCTGCCCCTGAGGAAATTACCAAAAGACATGGAGTTTTTCGACTGACATGCCAAAACACGGGAGTTGAAATTAGGGTACGAATATACGGGAGTCGGATCTACCAATTCTGAGTATGGGTAGTTTTTATTTTTTCCGTTGAACCCTTGTGGTCCGACTTCAGCAATTCTGACTACAGTAACTTTTTTTTGTTTATCTATTGTTTGGCAAACAAATAATGGGTCAAAAATATGGGTACCACTAACATATTTAGTTACAGTGTTCCATTTTAGACCAGAATTTAGTTACGTATAAAAGTTATGCCTTCTCAAAATTTTAACACAATAAATAAAACTTCTTCCTCCCCTAATATATTTATAATATACTACCTCCCTGCCAAAAAGTTAGCCGTATTGATTTTCTTTTTTTGTCAGTGATGGCGAACTTTAGATAATGATTTTAATTATTATACTTATATATAATTTGTAAATTTATACTTTTATGAAAATATTTTGAATAAGGAGCATTTGATATAATTTTCATACTCAAATTAATTACATATTAAAAGATATCGTTAGTCAAATAAAGTTGATTGCCAATGACCAAGAAAAGTCAATTCGGCGAACCTTTTCGGGACGGAGAGAGTATACTATATAGAAATGTCTAGTGAAAGCAAAATTGTTGCGCCTGCGACAGGCTACACCCCGACAACACGCGAATGGGGTCTTCTGGTCAGTTTTTAATACACCGTTACTACACGTGTTACATTTTTATTTACCCTTCTCATTGTTTGAACCACCTCCATATTATGGTTCTTATCATTACTCCACACAGTCCACTAGTCGGATGCATATTTTCCCACATTTTCAGATTCGTCATTTTACCATGCACGACCGCCATTAGAGTACATGATTACTTGGCTTGGCATACTCAATTTGAGTCGTTCTTGGTGTCTAATGGTTTCTTAGGAATTTTAGATGGTTCCATTCCTGCTCCCTCCCCATATATTTTTTATGTTTATCATTACGAGACCTAATCCTGATTATTATAATTGGCTAAAACTTGATCAAACTGTACATTCCTGGTTGTTTGCTACTTTATCTCGTGATGTGTTGATTGAAGTTCGTGAACTGAAAAATGCCTTTGCTATCTGGAATCGCTTGGAGTCTCACTTTATGTATGCTAGTTTTGCCCGTTCCATGGAACTGAAACGTCAACGTACACACTCTAAGAAGCATTCAAAGCAGTCAATGGAACATTATCTTCGGGATATAAGAAGGCAACCATCATTTGGGGCTGATATTAAGGTGGAACATTACACACTGATTCTGTGCCTCTAATTGCGTACCTTTTTTGCATCACACATTCGGTTGCCTCTAAATGTCGATTTAGAGGCAACCATCATTTAGGGACATATTCTTTAGGGGCACCTCAGAGGCACCAATATTTTGTCCCAAAAAGTCATTAGAGGCTACTTTCATGCTTTTAGAGGCAATTATGTCCCGCCTCTATAAATCTATTTTATTGTAGTGGTTTAAAATCTGGCTGAGTTCTTGTTGCCGTTTGGAATTCTGGAAAATAGGATTCAAAGACAAAACTTAATTCTGTTGCTAATGTTGTTAAAACTGAGGCAGCATGACATTTTAATTCTTATAGCATTGATATGCACTAGTTAGTAGTGCATAAATGTGTGTTTTTATATTTTGTTTTGTGAGGATTGTTTACCATTTGTGTGTAGTTGTAAACATTTGTTTACTTTTATTTGTAAGTGTTTTTAGCTTTTATTTGTGAGTTAGGAAGTTTTGATAGAATTGTTGGCAAGGAAAAGGAAGAAAAACAAGGAGAATGCTTCCCAGGAGTATAAACCCGGTCGGGTAGAAACCTTCACCCGGTCGGGTTTGAATTAACATTTACAATCTCCGGGAAATTGCTTGGCCCGGTCGGGCCCTATAGCTCACCCGGTCGGATGAGACTTGACCGAAGACAACCCGACGTGCTGAAGAACACTAGAACATGGAAGATATTTGATTCGGACCGGTACCCGGTCGGATAGATACTCTACCCGGTCGGGTACCCGGCCAATGGTGTTGAAAAACACCTATAAATAGCACACTTTTCCTTCACTAAAAATAATCCCTTCTTCCATACTCTTAAGCTCAGTTTAGAATAGTATTTCTTTTATATTTTTTTAGCATGTTTAGTCTCCAAATGAGGAGCTAAACTCTTCCATCTTGGTTTTGCTACTTTGAAGCTTAATGAATTTGTAAGTTGTGAGTTATTCTCTTTAATCTTCTTCCATGAATATTAATTATTCCTTTAAATGCTATTTCTATATCAATGTTGGGGAGTGTTACTAAGATGACAATTAGTTAACATCTTGACATTAGTTATAGTAATAGCTATTGCTTCCTCTATGTTAATATTGGGGAGTGTTACTAAGATGACAATTAGTTAACATCTTGATATTAACTATAGTAGGATTCATCTTCTTTAATATTCTTCCTTGAGTATTAATTAATTCCTATTCATATTTCATATTAATATTTTGAACATTACTTAAAGGATCAACTAGTTTTGTTTCATATATTAATTATTACTAGAATCGGTCGATTAATACGCTTGTTATTAATTCGGTCCTTTCGCGGTAGTAAACTTGGGTTATTAATGCATGCGTTTCATGGTTAATAAACCAAGGGGAATTAATTATATTGATTAAACCAATAAACCGCTTGTGTTGAGGTTATCAATCTCAATCGTTTTCATCTTGATTTTATTGCTATTATCGAGTGAATGTACGGCGCGTGTTCTATATTAACTCGGTAGTAAGTTTTATTAATGAACACGTCTCGTTATTAATAACTAC